GCCATGTGGCATTGTTGCCCCCGTGGCAGAGCCACACTGATGGCACCTGAATCCTGCTTCTGCCCCCAGTGCCCCGTCTGCTCTGTCGACCTCATCTGTGGCACCGGGAGCTGTGCGGGTGAAGTGAGTTGCTAGATGGGACTGTGTGGCCCAGATGTAAGCCACAACAACAAGGAGGGTACAGACTCGGGGGAGGCAGGAGAGGCAGGCCTGACTCCCACTGTCACAGACATGTTCTTTCCCTTGTTCAGTGCAAATGATTTAAAAAATAAGGTCAGAGCAGAAATTGGGCCTCACGCCAGGGTTTAATGAAGTCTTATTTGGGAATGATCAGAGAATCTTATTTTTATCACTAATTAAAGGGGGCTGTTTACAATAGGAATCTTGTTTGTGGAGCAAGGAAATGTACAGCTCACTTTCCTTGTTGCTGAAGTTTTTGAATAAACTTCTTTTTAGGGACACCTGGGGGGCTCAGATTTTAAGCATCTGCCTTTGGCTCAGGTCATTATCCCAGGGTCCTAGGATTGAGCCCTCGCGTCAGGCTTCCTGTTCAGCAGGAAGCCTGCTTCTCCCTCTCCCATTCCCATTTGTGTTCCCTCTCTCACTGTCTCTTTTCTCTCTGTCAAATAAATAAATAAGACCTTTAAAAATAAATAAGTAAATAATAAACTTCTTTTTACTGAAAGGATGGAAATAAGTATATGAAAGTATAATTGAGTGTGGTATAAAAATCCATCTCAAAGTCATCACTTACATCAAGTAGGGGCCACCTCCAGCCCCCTAGAAGTCCCTTAAGCCCTGATTATAGATAGATCTTTTATCTGTTATCCAAATAAAATTTCCCAATTATGGAGGAAGTGCCTTTTAAAACAGCATGGAGCATTAGTACAAAATATATGGACGCTAATGAAATTGGTTAGCAGTGTTGGGTAAAAGAGCAGACATTTCCGTATATGGTGATGACAGCATTTAGGACTTAGGTATAGTTCATGTCACCAAAACTGAGAAAACAGCACCTCCTGATGATAACGATTCCAGACTCTTAGCTCAAGTGATTGTGTTTGTGTTATTCATTTATTCACATCCATGTATTTATTTAAGACATGTAAGAGGGGCACCTGGGTGGCTCAGTGGGTTAAAGCCTCTGCTTTCGGCTCAGGTCATGATCCCAGGGTCCTGGGATCGAGCCCCAAATCAGGCTCTCTGCTCCGCAGGGAGTCTGCTTCCCCCTCTCTCTCTGCCTGCCTCTCTGCCTACTTGTGATCTCTGTCAAATAAGTAAATAAAATCTTAAAAAAAAAAAAAAAAAAGACATGTAAGATACTTCACTTGTTGAATGAGCAAATGTAGACAAAAACTTGATAGTTAAAAACTGCCCAGCCCCTATAATCTGGGGTAATACTATGTTTTAAGTCTGTTAACATTCCAGTGTTATAAGCATCATGAGTAGTTAATGATTGTAGCTCAGGAGAACAGTTCCTCCCTCTGGCATCCCACTGCCTGTGAGTTGTTGGGGAGGGATACTCATCCATCTGTCCCACCATCTGTCCATCCATCCCTCCCTCCCTCCCTCCCTACCTACCTCCATCCATCCATCCTTCCTCCCTTCCTCTGTCTCTTTCTCCTTTCCTTCCCTCCCTCCCTCCATCCTAGCTACCCTGGGGCTGGCTCCTATAAGTTCATTTGCTTTAGCCAAGTCATCCAAGGGATGGACCATGGCAGTATCTCAGCAGGCAGTGGTCACGCTAGCCTTTGCACACCTGAACGATTCACCTTGGAAGGTGTTGAAGTGAGGTACACAGAGACTCCACCTCTCAGGTCACATTGTTGGGGCGTTCAGCAAGTAACAACAGCAGCACTTAACCAGAGGGGAGACACTGGTTTTCACTCTGGTGGGGAGGATGGCCACACCTTACTAGATAGTCACTTTGCCTTCTCTTTCCTGTCTTTCTATTCTTACTCTTGAGTCACATGCTTTCATTGCTCATCATTAAGTTTTCCCCAACTTTTATGGGTTATCCTATGGCTCTAAAGCAGTCTAATTTTTTTGTTCATTTGTTTTGAAGATTATTTATATCTTATATAAATAATATATTATTATATATAAAAGATTATTTATATCTTTTATTTGAGAGAGGGAACATGACCAAGGTGAGTGGCAGAGGGAGAGGGAGAACATCTTAAGCAGACTCCATGCGCAGCACGGAGCCTCGCAGTCTATATATTTTAGAACACAATATCTGTAAATCATTTCCTTTTGCCAATTGTTTATCGAGGCAGGAAGACAAAAGTTATGGGGGAGATGAGAAAATGGGATGAATATGAGTAAAAGTTCTAGTAAAGTAAAAACAAGATGCAACAGAAGTTGTCACTTTGGTTTATGTAAATAATGTGGTAGAACAATTAGAAGAATTTTAGTACTTAACAGGCACCACATGCTTCGTACAGCTGTCACTTGGGGAGAAGCCTCAGTGTAAAAACGTTCTTTTTGGCCATGAGCTCACTCCCTCCAGCCTCCAACCAGAAGAGGTGGAATGGAATGCTCATTTGCACTTGGAGTTTTGTAAAATGAGGATTTTATTTTATTTTATTAAAAGATTTTATTTAGGGGCACCTGGGTGGCTCAGTGGTTAAAGCCTCTGCCTTCGGCTCAGGTCATGATCTCAGGGTCCTGGGATCGAGTCCCACATCGGGCTCTCTGCTCAGCAGGGAGCCTGCCTCCTCCTCCTATCTCTCTCTGCCTGCCTCTCTGCCTAC